CTTCCAGCCCAAACTATTCTATGACTCTATGTGGAAATTACCCAGACTGGGTACATCCAAATTACCCACCGGCATATATTTACTACAACGTGCTATGGAACTGCATTTTCAGATTGTATGTCCATGGCATGTATTTGTAAGTTACAAAGCTCACTGCAGTTGCTGGTCTTAGATACAGACATGCAGTGTGCACCTAGCAGGCCAAATAAAGCAGGTTTTTGTACAACCATTCAAGCAGGGTTGCTTTGAAATTAGTATCAGTATCTTATGCATGTAAAGAAAGCAACTTGGACAGTTGTACAGAAATCCACTCCATATAGCCACTGATGGAAGACTCTGCATCCCCAGATGGCAAATGGGATACTCCAAGCATAAATCTATTGCACAAATTCAAATGTGGTTTCACCAAGATGGGAACTGCTTTGAGTGCACTACTAAAGCACCGGGAGGTACCACAGGGAAAAGCACAGACACAGCTAAAAGAAACAAACAAAATCAAAACCAGAACCTCTTCATTGCAATAAATCACTAACATAGAAATGTAGATTCTGCGATTCAGGCAGGTCTGTCTTGTGAAATACTCATGCACCATGTCACAGCAAAGTCTGTCTAGCTCATTGGTGAATTATGGGAAGGTAGCAAGAAATAGCCTTTAAACAGAAAATCTTCCCTTGTTGTAACTTCACATATTAATCATCAGTTAAGACCCTCTGGAAGCCAAGCCTGAACTCAGGTAATCATCAGGAAGAGACTAGTCCCAGTGAATTTGTCTAGTAATTTCTGAAACTCCACTAAATCCTTTAGTAATTTGTTCCACAGCCTGATTACATGCTCAGGTGGTTTGGGGTTTTTGTTTGCTTTCGGAGGGTGGCAGTGAAATGGGGAAAGGGCTCTTTTTTTGAGCTTGATGTCTCATTGGGTGTTACATCTCACTGTAACAAAATAAGTAAATAATTCTGCATTTATTAATTTCTAAACCATTCTTAGTTTTACAAAAGCTTTTATCATATCTTTTCCAAACCCTTCTAAGACTCAGCCTTTTTGTGTCTGCCCCAAAGAAAAAATATTCTGTAGCCTTTTACCTTTCTGGATGCTCCTTTCTCGCCACCCTTCACTGCTGTATCATTTTTTTTTTAGATTGATTGTTGGTGGAAGAGGATTAGAAATGTAGGCACCATTCAAGATCTCGACAGCCCATGCATTAATAGAGAAGAATGACATTCTTTCTCTAGTCTTTTCTTATTTCCTAAGATTCTGTGCGTGGCTACAAAGATGGTCAAGACTTCTTCCTCAACAGAAAGACCTAATTTTGATTCAGGTTCAGAAATCAGGAAGAACTTTCTACCAGTAAGGACTGTGAGCTCTCTGCCCAGTAAGGAAGTAGAATATCCACCACAAGAAACTTCAAAGACAAACATCTGTCAGGAATGACAGGTATAATTAATCTTCCCCGGGGTCAGAAGGAGGAAGGATGATTTTCTGATATTCTTTCAAGCCTAATATTTTCTTGTGATTCAAGAAAGGAGCGGGTCATCTTTAAAAATCCAAAATATCTAAGTCTGATATTTTTGGAGTCAAAGATCTCCAGCATCTCAATAACTGGGACCAAGACAGATGCAAGATTCCCAATGAACTCACTTCAGCTTTAACCTAAGTGAAAATACTAGGCTGTCAGCCAGTCTTGTATTTTATAGTAAAAAGCTAAACTAGATTCAACAATTTAAAAAAACCTCCATCATCTATTTTCCTGATCTCATACCTTCTTCTGGTTTCAGGCTGTGTAAACACCAAGATAGTACTAGTATTGACACTACAACCAATGACTACGTACCATAAACAAAAAGCAGCCTAATCAAAGAGTAAAGACTACCACCTAACATCCTGCATGTAGTACCAAAGAATCAGAGTGAAGCTGATACTATGCCAGCCTGCATATTAAAACAGCTTTTTTGGTCTGCCTTCTAATGAGGGCCAAAATGCTGAAATAATGATTTAAGGAATGTTGAGGACTCCTAGTCTTATAAATACACAAAATACAGTTATTTAGTTACTTAAACGATATAGTTGGTTTCCTTGAGTATTGTAAAAACAGAGGCTATGAGCTTATAAAAGCAACTAGCATCTACCAGATAGATCACTTCTGGTCTCTGTAAAGAAAGAACGAAGAAACAAAGTTTTCTGATCTAACACTTAATTAAAAACAAAACACCATGACCAGCCCCCCAAAACCAAAACACACTGAAAAGAACAAAAGCTACTGAAAATTCCCATATACTGATCTAATGACATGGTTATATTAGAAAGCAAACAAAACACAAACAAACAAACAACAAAACCCTGATAAAGTGGAATTTCCCTTGATGGAAGTATAGTGGCAAGCACAATGCAAATATACATCATGGAATTGATAGAAAAATTAAAAAAAAAAAAAATCACATGATTGTTCAGACCTAAAAGAAATTACAATTAAGCAAGGAGACAGTCAGTACAACTGAAAAAATACAGGCATGTGTTATACCAATACTCAATACATCCATAGAAAGGAAGTTGCTGCTCTGAGAAAACATGGTGTTAAGGACATCATAGGTGTTCCTTAAGTGACATACATCATATTTAGAAAGCATATCATTACAGCAATCTACCATTTGACTTACAGGACTCAGTAGTTATCATTTCTTAGGAGTAAAAGTCATGATGTGTTTTCAAATTAGACAATTTTAAGTTGTATATGTAACTGAATCAGACAGCAGGAGTGAGCAACTTGTAATATAAAAAGAACATCTAACCTTTTGTTTTCTCTCTTTGGGTTTCCTCTTCTTTGGTGATGTTGATGGTCCATCTTTCTCCTCAATCCCTTTTTTCCTTTCCTTTTTAATCTGCTTCTTTTGTTTTTCAGGTCCTTCTTCATCCTCCGAACTACTTTCTGCTTTCTTTGTTTTAATTTTAGGAATTTTCTTTGGTGGTTGCAAATTGATTCCTGCATCTGCTGTCCAGTCAGAATAATCACTAGAGTAGTCACTACATATGATACACCAAAGAAAAAAAGAAATTAAAACAGTCAAAAAGCAATTCGGAGTGCAATGAATTATATAATAAATGGATTAGATAATAAAACCCAACACAAGATTATAGTCAGTAACAACATAGTCTAGATAACTACAATATTTTAATAGTTAAAACCAGTTCCTAAACTCCTATATTCTATCCCCAATTTAAATGGTAGTAAACCAAAAGCCTTGAGACCAGTCTTGCAAGAAGCTTAACTTCTATCATCACTAGAAGTAAATCAACTCTACTTGTTCAGCTCAAGATGATACGTGTTGAAGCATGGATATTGTTCTCAGTACTTCTGATTTTGAATAGCTTTGAACAAAAGGTAAGAAACAAAAATAATCTGATAAGGAAAAAGCAAAGGAGGGATTGACTCTACCTCAATCTCTGCTGGTTTCAAACCAAGAGTCAGCAGAAGCAGTCACACAGCTCACACTGACAGTCATAGGAAACTGCTACCACATGCCTAAGCACATGCGTGCCTGCAAAACCAGTTGGAAACAAGTCTGCTTCCGGCAAACAAAGATGAAACCTTCCCTAAATTTTAGTTAGTAATACATCTGAAAATGAAATCCTGAAAGTTTTAAGTTCTTTTTAATCTTTTCTTCCAAATCTGCGCAAGTTTTAGTTATTACTCATGAACTGTTTACAGAGAAGATCATTTAAAATCTATCAGCAGGACTTTTCTCTAAGGTATATTGTCACTTACCTAGAACTGCCATCACTATGCCATGCTCTTTCATCATCTTCTGATGTTCCACCACTGGCAACAACTACTTCCCCTTCCTAACAAGGTGGTGGGGTGGAAGGCAGGAAAAAAAGAGAGCATTTGCTTTGGAACTCAAAAAAGTTGTAAATACATGACAATATGACTTAAGACTCTTCTAGGCTTTATATGTGTTATAAACACACAGCATTATAAAAGCTTTATGTTGTTAAAAAGGCCTTTTAGTTTGCAGACAGTTACTTTACTTTAATGGACTTAAATGAAACAAAATAAGAAAATGTGTGCCTGGGCAGACATATAGTGTAGAGCGACATTTTTTTAATATATAGCCAGTGGAGACCCAAGTGCTTCTCAATCTCCATTTAAAAATGCTAGATTTTCGGTACTTTTAATGTAGTATTTCCACATATTTTCAATTAATATCAAACATATGAACTATATATACTCTCATTTCTCTACTGCAGCTACAGACACACAGAATGGTTGAGGCTGGAAGGCACCTCTGGACCATACTGCTAGGCCATACGGGCCATGCTGATGAGGCTTACAATATAGGGAAGATTTAACTCTGCACACATATACTCTGCAAAATGCCCTTACAAATGAGCATTTCTCCCTTTTATCTATTAGTTTTTAGTCAATACTAAACACATACAACAGCATGTGAAAATCTAATTCAACATCATGTTTTAAAAAGAAAAAGCACAACGAAAAACGTAACCCGAGTTTCCACTAGAAACAACATTTAGTTATCTAAAGCAGGAGCTTAATGAGTAGAAAAGGAATTAAGATTGCCTCATGAATAAGGTCTTACATCTGAGGAACTGTGTCCATTTTCTAATTCTTCAGCAGGCCTTGCAGTTTCTTCTACTGCGTATCTCGTACGGTAGTTGTGCTGATTAGCCTGCTGTTTTCTTGAGTCGCTAGTGTCTAGTAAGTGATCATGAGAATGGTTCTGTGAAGAGACGAAAGTACATTGAGTACACATTTTATTAATACATAGCATTTTCTTTAATAATAGTACTCCAAGAAGCAACTTCTGCAGTAGCAAAAAGATACAAATTTCAACATCACAAAATTCAAAACAGGCCACGAGCCCAAAACTAAAGAGCTGCTGAAGAAAACACTCCACACACAGAGCTGAATATAAGCGCCAAGCAGTTCAGCATATTCTGGAAATAATTAAAATTTCTTCCCATATATAACTGGAAATTTTAATTATTAAAACTCCTCATTCCCTACAAGGTACATATGGGTTAACTACTGATAGGCTGCCAGGAGTCTGTAACAGCTCAAAACTACACTAAAAATGACCACCAGAGAAAAGGAGACTGAGAACTCCACAGCATGTTCCTTTGCAGCTGAGGGGTGAAATCTGTTAGAAGAGAGACCCATACAGTAATACATCCCTTAGCATACAGAGATGACTGTTAGCAAGTAAATGCCCTTAAACGGTATGATGATGCATTAAAGAGTTCAAATGAGTCAGCTGGAAAGAATCTGAGTTCTTACACAGCTTAGAAGAATGAAATACGGCTGTAATTAAGAAACTTCACACTCCAGCATAAAGAGATTTTGTTCCTCCTGTAGTATATACATAATGCAAACACTTGCTCTCAACAAAGTGTGTATTCTTGTGTTAGTCCCCAACGCCTGTTAAAAAAAAATCAAGAGCTACAATCTCAATTTCAAGAGTTTTGTGCTGATTTTTTTGGCATCCATATTCAAACCTCAGCCTAGCTCAGACCCAGTTAAATAGTTTCTGGACAAATTCCTAGATGCCACATGAAGAGCTATGCCTCCCCAGTGCTCTCTTTCTTCCATAAAAGAAAGCTTATTTACATATGTATTTGTTGCCAATACGGTTGGAAAAAAAAAAAAGTACCAGATGAAGGCGGCAGAACCAGAGCAAGCCACAGAAAGGTACTAATATTATCAGCCTAGTAGGACAGACGGCTTCTACCTAGTCCTCTTTTGTAGGACAGAGATGATCTTTCCTGTCACATATGATGGAAGTTCAATTCATAAGGCTAAAATTTCCCATTGAGGAAAAAAAACGCCCCACTTTTTTGTGAAAACTGTACTAAAACTTGGCTAAGCAGCAGTAGCTAAGATTTGATTTTCCTTAGCCACTTAAGAACAGTTTTTCTTAAAAGGCAGACCTGTGGTATCTACAGCTTTTCTCCTACCCTCCCTATCAGAAGATACATGCCTTTTCCAAGTACATAGAACCAACAAGAACTGCTCTATGCTTTATTTTGTGAGTGCTGTATTTTTGTTCTGTCCAGTGAATTCAAGTTGGGGACAGCATAGCTACCAGAGACACTTCTAAGAGGACTTGCTCAGCAATCAGCATTTTAACATCACCCAAGACTTTTGAGACCTGGGGCATTCCTTCTTCTGGATTCAAACTGGCAGCACATACCAGATCTCTTCAAGCTGCTCTGACCTGACTCAGAACAGCTTCGAGGCAGCCCTAAGACCAGCGGCTGAGCCCATCACACAGCCTTCTGTCCCTTGGCTGCCTGGGGCTTCTCACGTCTCGTCAAGCTCTTAAGATTCATTGTTGAAGCAAAGAGGTCACAAAAGCCGGCATTACAGCAGCTTGCTTCTGCTACTGAAAGGTGACTTTTTTTATAAAGCCTGTCTGCCTCTTAGCCTCGTGAAACATAGTATGAGGAAGCATGGAGAACAGGATGGAATAATGTCAGACCAATGAAACAAATTAGTCAAATATCCTTTACAATAACAAGGATGTATTTTGCAGAAGCTACATTACAGCCTGACTGTAACGCTCACATCTTCTCTCTAGAAACAAAAGTCCTAAAAATTTATGTCCCTGTTTCTATTCAGGGGTAAGATTTCTCACATAGTTATTATAAATACAGCTTCTCTCTACTTACACTAGAACTATAGATCCTCGGAAAACTGAAGCGCTTTGCTCTCTGCTTTTCCTTCATGGAAGCAAGTAACGTCACTGTATAACTACTGGGCCACACTGATGCCAAAAGGTAACAAACTGCTCTAGGAAAGACGCAATGCTAATGTTAAACAGGGACAGGGCACAAGCATATGTCCAGTATCAGAACCCCAACATTAAACAGATACTCACAGGCTCTTCTAAGACAAAGAAAGGAAACTTTAGCCTTTTTGTCTGCATATGCTTTTCATAACATCACATTTAAAATGTTATGCTGAAAAAATACATTTGTCAAGTAGCCTACATAACTGTTTGCATTCTTGACTACATAACGCTATTTAAATTCTTCAACCCACGATTTATCTCTGAACTTAAATTTGTCCCTGTTGAATTTCAATGTTTATGCTTCTGGAGAGGGATACTTTTGCCACTTAATGGCAATTAGAAATATTTCTATTTTTGTTATTGTTTTACTAGGACACAAAACACAACCCTCTAGCATACAGAAATGTCATACTCTTATTTACTAAAATGCTTTGTAATCCCAGTTGTTAATGAACTAGTACTCCAATCACTTGGTCTGGGAACATTTACCTAAGCATGTTATTTATCTATCTCACTTCTCATCTTTGGCATGCTCCTGAAAAAAATTAATTAAAAATACAGTTCCACTTCAAAAATGCAAAAATTCCAATGCCTCACTCTATCCTCTGTCATTAAGGTTTGTTTGTTTGCTTGCTTTTTAAATGTTTTTGTTTAACAATAATCAGAGGAAACGCTATTCCTCACCAAAGTCTTTCAAAGTCAAACTGAGTTCTTCATTTGACATGCAGATCAGTGATATCAAATACTATTCAGGTCAAAATACCCAAGCTTCTCGGCTCTCTCACACAACTCCATTAGTTCCTCAAGCAATCACATAAAAACACTTCTCAGTATGACCTGTGTCAAAGAAATTTGGGGTTTCTAACTTTAAATATCATAAAGTTTATGTGACTTCCATCTAAGTTGCAGATATTGTTAAAGAAGAAAGACTGACCTATAATTCTATATTACTTTTAACACACCTTATAATGACCCTGGACTAAAAACTAGCAATAGGGCTTTGGAATTTCCTCAAAAAGTAATTACACCTGCTTTGTATTTTTCCATACTGACCTACACTTTAGCTTGTAATCCAAAATGCCAACACTTGTTCCTGCTCTCCTTCTCATTTTATTTCTGTATTTTTGGCTCCTTTCAGTTAGAAGGGAACAGAAGAAAATATTATTTTATCATTATTATATGAACAGAACTGGTAAGTTTCAGAAGTTGATATATAAATTAGTATTTCCTACTGGTATGAATAAAACCAAGTTTGCATATGAGGACAATGTTTTAACACAAGCCCCATTTACTCTGTTTCCAGATTAGCTGGCAGTACTGTAGAATGACACACTTTCTAGAATTCTTGACACTGTAATTCCTAGGTCTATAGATTACTAGAAGATAATGTTTTCCCCTGTATTTTGTTTGAGGTGTTCCTCATTTCCTCTAGATCATAAATTCTCTCATTAAACCCTTAAGAATTCACCACGCAACATAGGAGGACTGTAGTCTCACAACACTACTGCAATATAAATGACAAGGTATCAGTATCAAAACCCACTGTATGCACTCTAGGAACAAGAAGATTTACAAAGAACTTCCCAGTTCTCTCCTCAACCTAAAACAGACTGTATTTAAAGCCACGCCGTCACTGTAAAGCACAGCAACAGAAGAGCCACTATAACTAAAATTTCTATTTTAAAAACTAAAACCATCACAGTCAGTCTTGCTTCTCCTCCCAAGTGTTTCTTTGATTTTACTATGGACACTACAGAAGACAACAATTCCAATTCACCATTCCCATTGTTCAGACACTACTCAGCAAGTGTTGCTCATGTTAACCATAAGCAACAATGAAAATTGCTAACATCTAAGCAGTTTATTTAATTGAGAGACTCAATCACTTGGGATCAAGCACTCTTTTCTTCTTGCAGATTTGCTCATTCAAAGCCCACTTGATACCTACCCATTTCTGAATCCCTCTGAGATTTATCTTAAGGGATTTGAATTAGCGTACTTCTCAACAACCTGAGTCTTCCACAAAGGGATACATTTAATGAAGAATAAACTATGGAAGAATATGAGGGTTTTTTGTCCCAAGATGTTATAAAAAAGTATCCTGTCAGGTTTACGAAGGATTTATTTAAATGTTCTGAAAGTGTTACTGAACTCAGCAATAATTTCTATATGGAAAATTTACCAACATACTCAAGTGCAGAGACCATGACTGTCTGCTTTCTGCTGTATTTCCTCAGGATCAACATAGGAAGTAACTAAAGGATTTACCAAGTTATCTCCATCTCACATTCTGGGCATCAGAATCCAGACCACAGACTCTCCAGGGGCCAAGATAAATGAAGAACACATTCTTCCCTGGGTAAATATATGAAACTGAAGAAAGGTGTCCCTAAGCTAGCTTTTCCTCAGAAGGATTTTAAGGGCATAAATATCCACAATGAAAATATGGGGCTCAAAAGGATCCAGTGCTACCTTTCAAGTTTGGAGACTAAAAAATTTGTCCACTGAGAAAAATTTTCAAAAAACATACATATTAAGTTTCTTTGTTTCAAAAATGTAATAAAAGTAATTGTTGAAACCAAAATGCTGGACCAACTAGCCTACTCTGCTATTTTTATGTCCTAGTGATATTTTAGGAAAACTGTAACCCAATTAGAAATTTAAGGGTAAGTTGGCAGGAATTCACATTATCAGGAAGGATCTTTTGACTAGGCTGTAGCTGAAGGGAAAAAAAGAAACCTTTGAGCAATGCAATTGTTTAATTAAACTAAAAGAAAGTCTATAATCAGCACCAAAATACATCCCTTCAAGACAAGAAGCAACTTCGTTAAAATCTGAGTTTGAGAGACCTGTTTGCTATTATTCCCGAGAGAAAAACAGGAGTTAAAGATTTCTGATGTCCTGGCATTTCATTAGTTAGCCGTGCCATGGCCACCTCCAAATCTGTAAGTGGCACAGAGCTGCTTCCTTCTATGCACAAAAAAACACTGGAGATACACTGAAAAAAATATTTGTTTGCTTTATCCTGGGCAAACACACTTAAGGTCAGTGACTGTAGCATTGAAATTAGCACATCGGTACCACTTCTTAAGGTAGCAATGCATCAATTTAATTCTTGTACTAAAATTGTGTGGAAAAAATAGAAAATTTAATAAAGAAATGGAAAATTATTAAGGGACTGTTTAGGGGTGGGGGAGTGTTCATCTCACGTCTTTTGAAAGCTTTACTTTGGTTGAGTATCAAAAAAGAAGCAAAACTGAACATTTAAAATTTAGCATCAAGTAGAAACTTGCCCATCTCAAATTTACTCCTTCTACTGCATCAAAAATTAATTTATCATTATTGAAAAACACAGAAGCGCTACTAAGCATCTGAAATTTGCTTATTTTCAGATTGTTTTCAATCTCAGACCCTTCCTCCACAAGGAAGTGAATAATGAACAGCCCAGGCATTAAGTATGGTACCCTGACAAAGTTAAGAGCTGCACAGTCGTTTGTGTACTTGTTCTTAACATTTCTTCGTTTTTCCACCTTGAACCCCACAAGTGATTTTTACTTTTCAATGGACAACTTGCAGACGTTCTTGAAGGCCTGTACTTTACCAAGCTTTTCATTAATGCTGAAACAGTCTCATCTAGAATAGGTATACTACAAAACCCAAAGCATGGGTTCTCCTTTACAGTTGCTTAAAATTTACTTCCTTTGTTACACAGTACAGTTGGTTATTTAGCTAGAAAAGCCCAGATAAGCATGTTAGATGCATAGATAAAACTAATTTCTAACAAAGACATAAAAGATTTTTGTAAATATAGAATATACATCCTTCACATTTTCTTACCAGCATAAACACGTTAGACAAAATTATTTTTGCAAGTTACATGAAAATATCGAATCAGCTATGACAATTTCCTTTTTAATACAACCCATTCCCTTCTATTTCATCTATCCTGTTTTTCTCCCTTCTGAAAAACACACTCCAGCGCTAGCAAAAAGCATGAAATATCCCATACAAAACTGCAATATGATTATTAGGGTACGATGAAAGGAAATACCCAATACTGTATTTGGAGATGTATTTAAATGTGTTAAGTTTAAGAATTGTAACTTGAGTTTTAATTAAATCTTTCCACAGAACAGCATGTCAAACAGCGCCCAACAGTAGCAGGATGTATTGATTAATACTGACAGACTCCCTACAGCAAATGACATCCCTAACACCAGATTTGCCAGGCTTGTCACTTAATGTTCTAAAAGCAATCCCTGTGGTTTATTCAGAACATACTGAAACATCAGTAGACACACACTTCCTCATTCTGGGGAGGTAAACAAACTCCTGTACTCCTGGTTTTTAAATTTAAAACTGAGAAGAGGAACGTAAATTTCTGTGGCCTAAGACATTCAGTTACATTTTGTACTTTTTACTGTGATAAGGTACAAGTGACTATTTACCTTAGAGAAAGCAGGTATTTTGTTTTCTCTTTGAATGTGACTTGTTACATGTTTTCTTTTCTCTTCCGATCGATACACTCTCACTTCTTCTTCTCCCTTTGCTGTTCTCCATTCTTCTTGCCTACTGAAAAAAAGAAACTGGGATGTTAACTTTAAAGCAGAATACTACAACTAAGACCACCTATTCCAAATCAAGGAATAAACATTCAATATGTAACAATCTTTGAATAGTAGTTCTTTTTATAGTCATAATATGGCTTCACAATTACCCTTTCTGAACAAAGATTTCAATTTTATTTCAAAAAGGTAGAGCAGTTTGATCGCAGCTAGAAGGGTTTTTTAACTTATTGATATAAGTAATCATCACAAGGGTTAACTGCTGAATGAAATAAAGTTCTAGTTTGGAAATCAAACTTCACCTCAGGCACCTAATGGATTAGGTCAGTGTCCCAGCTGTAAAATGCCATATAATGGCAGGAACAAATGGAGTTAAAACATACTGTAATATCACACTACAAGTCAGAAAACATTGAGGCAGCTGGATCCTATTGCATATGCAAGTTAAATTCCTCCATCCTTGTTAAATGGTCCATTTTTATTCATAACACATCTATAATGCGAAGATTCTTTGAGAGATATTGAAACAACTGATTTCAAACTGAAACTGACTTTGTAAGAAATATGAGGCCACGGAATAGATAAATACCACCCGTAGTTCTACAACAATGTGAATTCCAAAACTGCTCAATTTAATTAAGTTCACCAAACTAAAATTCACTGCAAATTTGGCCTATGTTTACCTGGCCACACCAGAAGACAATTCGGGCACTACAACCCTTCGACTCCAAGCCACAAGATCCCGCTCAGTGGCTATTTCACTTCTTGGTGCGTTGCTATGCATCTGACGCACACCTTCAATTTGTCCACTACGTCTTAATCCTATATTTGGTGGTGAATGTACTTCTGAGGTAGAACTTACAGATCCTAAAAGTCAAAAAGTGATAGTTATACTTGATCCGAAATTCTAAGGGAAGCATTTAAAAAGAAAAACTCAGAATGAAAGGAAAAAAAGAATTTTACTTGCTCTATTACTTCAAAAGAACTCAAATATTAACTGAATATAACTATTTCATCAGTTTCTATAGTCACCACAACACACATGCCTAAGTAGCTACTGGGCTGCAGTACTCTTTAAAAGGAGCAGAAGTATCAACAATCTGAAGTGAAGTAAATGTTTCACTGGTTTGCTTTTCTTTCAAAATGCTTTTGAAAACCTTTACGCAAAGCTGACTATGGCTACTGCACTCTAGATCCGTATTATAAAACAGTGACCCATCTCACTGAATCAGTATATTCCTTAAACTTCTACCTTCAAAAAACCAAAGCCACAATACTGGAGTTTATTAGGAATCTAAGCTGTAAAATTTACAGACATGAAATTGATCAAAAGATTTAAAAAAGAAAACAAAAGCCAAACACCAAACCAAACCCACACACATATGCAAGATCCTTCAAACACCTACACTGTAGCAAAATTTCAACATTTTTCCACATCTTTCCACACACAAGCTATTCTTGCTTCCTCAGGTGGATTGCCAATCATGATTTTCTGAAGTGTTGAAAACTACTGCGTAACCTAGTGCAAGACTCTGAAACATGGAACAGCTGTACTGAGAAACAAGCAGCTCCTTCCTCTTTTCTCCCTCGTATCTCCTTGTTTGAGACAATTACAATTCAGATTTCAATCAAGTAGATGGACAATTTGAGATTAAACAGTAGGGTACTTCTAAGGGAATGCAGTTGCTGCAAGATCCCTGAGTGAGCAGACAGTAACTTTAAGATAAATTTGTTATGTTAAAACCCCTGAGATTTCACAGAAATGTAAAGAGATGGGAAAGCCGTGTTATTTTCTACAGCCCCATACCTCCTCTCTAGTAGTTCAATAAAATGCACAAATCGTGCATAATAATGTGATTTACATTTTCCAACTCTCAGCTGTTTCAATAGAAAAGCCACAACACCCATTCCCCAGTTACCTACCTCTGCTTATCCGGCTGGTACTACTGGTTCCTGCCTCCCCAGAACGTCTCTGGTCCTGCTCTTGCTGAAGTCTTTGAATCATGCTATCCAATGGACTAACTTCTTGATTTGCTTGTTGACTAAGAACTTGATTCAATCCTGTGAAGTAAAATACACAAGGGAACAACACACAAGTGTCGATTTGACAAACCAAATGTTGCAAACAGCTCATCTAAGTTTTAGCTTTGCAACTGACAAGTACAGTATATAATCACATGCGTAAGCATGGGCTAACGCATAGTTTCGCAAGAGCCACTTTTTAAACAGGACCACTTTTTGCTTAATATACTGAGAGCAGGGTCAAGATGATCACATGACACTCCTAATGAAAGTTTAAATTTGATCAAATGCCAGCAAGTCACAGAAGCTTAAGACAACTGTTGTTTGTCATCTCAGTCAATGTAAATTGTTCAAATGCGTGCTTAGCCTGCCCCAAACACATTATAAAACACTTTAGTGTAAGCTTCAACGAAACAACTGCATTAAGAAGGTCTAACTGAATTAGAGAAGAACCATCTATACCGGAGAACATCGAGCAGTAAAAACGCTTGACTGAGCTCCACATTGGCATAATGATGACACAGGTTAAGTAATGCTAATTTTCTCTGGTACGTAAAACAGCCAAGAAACCTCCTTTTGGGTAGGTCTCTTGAATAAAAGACAGGAAATAATTCTCCCAGAAGTGATTACAAGGTGATAATATGGTTTCTGTGCAGCAAGCAGATAGACAGCATGTAAGCATAAACAACACAAAACTTCTTTTCAGACTCACAATGGTCACAAAAAAAAAAAATAGAGAAGTACGGAGAAAAAGACAAGGGTTACAGTACTGATTTCAAAAGGAACTCAGATACCTCCACACGAAATAGTTAGAGGTGGAGTGCAGTAGTGGGAAGCTCTGGCCAGGAGAAGCAGAACCCGCAAAACTTTGCAATGTTCAAAGCAGCAAGCTACAGAAATTATTTTCCCATCATGATTCCAAAGAGTTATCATAGCATAAACTGCACTTTGCAAGATCAAAGACAAGACAGTACAGTGATTGTGCTATGAAATGAAGAGCTTTGATTTTGTGGCTAGACAGAGGCAGCCATCTCTAAGACAATGGTATGAAGAAAGAACATAAATACGTAAGAGTGCTCTCAGGGTTTCAAGATTATTGTAGTTGAAGTCAACTTCCCTAAGGCAGCAGAAGCTTGGAATCATGGAATAAGCTCTGGTATAACCACGGCTGGATGTTTTCTGACTCATGTAGTGAAAGAGTCAGATTTATTTGGTGATCTCATGAGTAGACATACTCCCTACTGAAAACAATGGGAAATAGTACTAATAACCCAAGAATTACCTTAAATAAAGAAACTGCTACCTAAACAAAGTTAATTGTTTTTTTTTTTGTATCTAGCTTGTGAGATTTTTGCTTTTGCAAGTAACAGCAAGGGATTTTTTTAAAACAAAACAAAATAATAAAGACGTTGGTATATATTTGACTTTTTCAGAATATCTGGTTTAAAGAAGCTTCATGTACATCTAAGCAGTAAATCAAGCATGACTACCTGAATTCCCCCTACTCTTATAAGCCCCTACAGAAAACCTGACAAGACATACATTGTCAGTGCTCTAAGGAAGATCCATCAAATCCCACAATAAAGTTTCAGAAAGAAACGGAGCGTCCTTAATGGAAGGGAACATAAAAATACACAAACACACAGTTTAGCTCTACATAAGACTGCATATACTGTTTCTAAACTAAAGAGGTAGAAAAGCTTCTTCTGTCTCTCCATAGTCTCTCTGGCTCTCTGTCAGCCTGGTTGATGGCTTCCTGCTATTAAACAACATGCTATGGGCATCATCATTCTATAGGCATTCTTATGTCCTGCAGCCACATCATTAAATGTAACATTGTTGGGTCTGTGTGCAGAGTCTTACTGGTTTCAAGACATTATATTGGCGAATGCGCTAGGACATTTTCAAATTTGGAGAATTTCACAACATCATGGATCCACGCTGTTAACTGTAACAATGAAGTAAAATCACATTCTTCCTTGGAAATCAAATTTACCTTCAAAGCCACTAGCTGAAAAGTTAGAGATAAAACACGGCATACATTCACTAGAAAGGCTTTTTCCTTCTTACAGTTGCTTCTCAGGTAGCATTTTTTCCTATAATTTTGGGGGAAATACGGAAATGCTCCTTAAAAATTATTATTTAAATATTTAGTGCCTTAAAATCTCCAGGGTCTACAAATGAGGATAGAGAGATCTTTTGGTAACAACACCGTCAGTTAACCTTCCTGGAATCTCTGACACACCACAGGCTTAAGTATGGTGTGCATATAAGCCACTATTTACAGGCACAGTCAGTTTTCCTGTATTTTCAAGGATATCCAAACACTTAACAATGCTTATCTTGAAAACATTCAAAGCTACTTTCACCAGTCACTGTTTGCTCTTTCATACTAACATTGAACTAGTGACATGTGACAAGTAGGCATCATTTTTACATCCCCACCCATGTAGACCACATTTAGGCAGTTTGTAACAGCCAGCCGTTGGCCCAAAACATGCACATTTCTCCTATGTTGTGTGCATGGAAAATACAACTTTCCAGGAACGTCCTAGACTTTGTATCCTCATCAAGTCTTCAGATTTCTCTAACCAAACCATCAAAGCTTAAGTTGCATGACTGCCTTCATCTAAAGAGGAAGAGGATTTTGCATGTTTCAGGTGTCAACTAGCACTGACTTGATCAATGACAATATTGTAAGTGAAACTGTCAACAGCAATCAGTGCCAAGGACACTGCAATTCTTCCACACTAAGTGAACCACTCTGCTGAGAAATGAAGAAAAAGGACAAAGTGAAAGGGATAGTGTAGAACACCTGGAGGTAACTCGATAGGCTATTACTGTGTAGTGAAGTGAAGTTTTCCATACCTGAAGATGTCACTCCCATCTGAGGAATAAGCTGTTCCTCCCTGCAGTTCTCACGACCGGGAACTAGTCTTTGATACCTTGCAGGATGAGGGTTGCCATCCACATCAACCAAAAATGGGGGAGGCATAAGGTGTGGAGCCTGCTGTGTCTGTTCATCCAGGACAAAGTTGTTGGCATCACGGATAAGGGGCCGATAATCACTATGAAAGAACATCTGATCTGCTATCTGTAAACAAAGTAATTTTGTAATTTTTTTAAAAGAACCTATAAAAAAAAGGCACACAGAACATAACTGCCAAAACTATTTTTAACAGTGTTACTCGTGGTCACTTTTGCAAAAACAAGGTTATAAGCCGATCTGTTTATCTAAAGGGGAAAATTTAATTACTCCCCCCCCCCAAGTACTCCTTTTCTGTATTAGCATGCAAGGAGAATAATCCACGTGTTTGAGGGCAGGGAGCATTTAAAGAACAGGCGAATGGGGCAACATTTGCCTTCCTGAAGATGTTTGACCAAACACAGTATGGACGTTATTAAATAGTTTACAAATTTTCTTCTATACTCTGAACACATGAATATATTCTGATAAAAAAAAAAAAAAAAACAACCCTGTGTCACAGACTTATGAGCTATGGTGTAGGAAAAAGGAATAGAAAAATATTTATCTCATCACATCATTGTCAAAGATTGTTTAACACCAGCAGCCTATTATAATTCTAGATATGTGAAAGAGTTCCAGTAGATGAAATAAAGCTGATCTAAAGTTGAATTGTTCAGGCTCAAAGTTTCCTTTTTATTTCAGTCCACCTGCTCATAATTTAGTCTAGATGACTTTCCACAGACACTCAAGACTGAGGAATTCTTTCGTCCAAATGGCCTTTAAAAAGGCTTACACTCCATCCCTCGCTGGCACAGGTATCTCAATATTGTGCAATCAGAAAGGTATTGAACCACACGGACAAACGAGAGAGAGAAAGACGACAAGCTGACACATATACTACATATCCCAACACTACCTACTGGCAAGCAAACCCCTTGGCAGCTCATGTACTCAGTTTAACTTTGAACAAGTAAAAATAAAATCATAAAATCAGATTTCTAGTTCAGTATAAAAATTGTTCAGCAATTGACTCAAGGCACAGAAATCTCAAAAAAAAAAATCTTGTCTTAGATGTTAAAGACAGGTATTTGAGCACAGACAGAGGAATACTTAAGTTGTCGTAGAATATTCTCTCATTTCTGAAAAGCATGCTCTATCATGACGAATCCATAACACAGTTTCCAGGAATTTGTTACATAGAAATCGGTAAGGCAGAGGTTATAGCATCTACTCAGAGGTCCGGTCTCTCAATGACAAAGGTGTCCTGGTCTGGATGTGAGAAGACCAGGAAGGAAAGAATGACAGGCATCTGTCAATTACACCATGACATGCATCCACATGAGGTGGATAAAAACCCCACCACTTTAAATCATAGGAATCATGGGATCTGGACCCCATAAAAATTCAGAAAATGTAACAATAGGAAGAAATTGGAAAGATGCATGGCAAGATGCAGTGGCAAAGAATTTACTTCGGAGATTCAAAATGTTACTCTTACAAAGTGTGTACAGTCAAGGTGGCATCCCACTGCAGTAATAAGCCCTGACTGGATGAAGTCTTGTTGCCAAATTCGCTGTTAACTTAACAGAGGCTGAACGAGAAAGACAAAAGTACTTTCATGGTCTGACTGACAGAATCAAGGCCTGCTTAACAACTTTGTTCCTTCAGCTCAAATAAATAGCTAAATATGACAAAGATACAGGTCCTCTAGAAGGACTTACGATTTTCCCTAGAATCATAACAGTGAAGTATCCACTACTTTTACCTAGTGTAAATTTTCCTATTAAGTACTTCCCACACTGAGAAAGAAGATATTCTGATGGCATGATCATACAGACTGAGTTTTAATGTGATGTGATTTTGCTGTACAGTGCTGTCTGCATCCCAGGTTTTGTAAGCAAAGGGAAGATCCAAAAAATCCTTCCTTAGATTCAGTGATCTAGAACAGTCTCTGCTGCAGGATCATGAGGGACTTCTCTGCAATAACCCTTCTGTGTGCTCTGTACTGCAATCGGGTATGGTAGAGACAGTAAACAACAATTTTCTACACCACAAGATGAGAACAGCATTTCATGGAGAATCCAGGTTCAGACCAACTCTCAGGTACAACACTGGCATGTCCCTGCTGAAACACAGGGCAACAATCTTACCCTCAGGCTACTCCAAGTCCTGAGAAAAATCAGAAGAATTAGACACTTTAGAGAATCTTAAATGTTCAGCAGACAACCAGTTAAAAGTACCAACAATCAGACCTATTTCTTGATATACTGTTAGAGATCAAATTCGTTACAATAAGAAGATACTACACCACCATTAGAACATACGAGTCCTCTGTATATATCACTTCACAAATCCAGCTTGGGTTTGAGCGTGGAAGTCTTCCACAGTCTGAGTTCTACATATACTCTCCTTCAGTAACTATGCTACACATTCTGAATGCTCAGTTTCTCCAAATGGGCACACCTACACAAACGCAAAGAGATTTTCTCCACTACTGCACCAATCTACCACACGGAAGCTGCCAACTTGCAACCACAAACCATGTTTTGGGCAGTCTACAGGAACGAAAGCCTTAGAAAGCTCAGAGATCTAGACCAATTTAAGATTTAAAATCAACAGAAAGGTACCTTATGCTTTAGGACAGTTAGCCATTCCTGGACAAGCTTCCACTTAAGGAAGAACTTCTGAAGTGCTCATGCCCTGCTGACAGTGAGCTCAGCTAATTTCTGATGATCTTCACACACTCAGAAATCTCAGCTGAGATTGGCTCAAGGTTCCCTTAATTGAGTCAAGTTACAAAGGAACCCCAAACAAGAAGCAAATGTTTTGGTTTTTTTTTTTGCCTCCCACTAAATAATCACTCCACAAAAACATGAATCATCAAAAAAGAAAGAAAAAACAAAACACCCCATTGCCTTCATTGTGGCAAAGATCACACTGGGGGGAAAAAAAGCCTGGACAGTGGTTCCAGTCAACTAGGAAACAAAATCAGAACATAACATGAAAAAATGTACATGTGGAAAACCAAAAGCTTGCCCTTTCAGCAGCGCTAACACTAATTCAGCTGTAATTGTTATCCTGAGCACAACTCACAAATGCAGACTACAGGAGAGGATACCACGCTTATTTCTTCTGTAAAAATCATTCCCCAAGACAGATTAAAAACACTTCAAAGCCAAAAAAATGCAGGTCCTATCAGACCATACTCTCACAAGGTGTCTGAAAAAATGCCAAGTATCTGAGGGGGGAGACGACAGAAAAAAAGAGCACCTAATCTCCAGTACATACCCATCTGTAATTACAATTTTTCATAAATCAGGTCAGACAAAAATGAAAGAGATTAAACTAGACAAGAAAGAGATCGGAAACTTCCAAGCTGAGTTTTCTGAGAGTTGAAGACTGCTATTAAAAACGTAACAAATCTAAGTCCTATTTGCTCCCCTTTCTTCTACGGTCAAGAATCGCCAAGATTACCATTGGCACGGTAACAGCTGGAGAGGATCATTTTACATCACCCAATAAGTGAAAAATTTTAAACATAATCTTTTCTCAGAGGCTACAGTAAAAACCCCAAGAGGAGAAAGGGTCTGTAAAATTCAAGAAGTGAAAAGCAATTGTTTTCATTCTTCAAACAGATCTAATCCTTCACAAGGTAAATTCTCAAATGGCAGTGTAAAGGAAACTCCTGGTCTATCACAGCAAAGACAAAAAGGCTCTCCAATTTCATTTCCAACATTTCCAAGTAGCAGAGGACTATATACTTCCAAAATGACTGAAGAGAAAAATAAACCTGGAACAATCCATAGACATGGTGAGAAAAATGTTTTTATTACAAGTTTGGAAGAGTAAGAACTCTGAAAGACAAAGACCTTGAGAATGATCTGATAATCCCGGTTCTCCTTGCTTGTGGTGTCTCCTCATTTGTTTTCTTTGGAATGGAAGGGAAAATGCACAGCTAGTAATAGCTGAGGGATAGCAACAGCAGCCAAGGACCAAGTACTTCAAATCATATTTGAGAGACAAGAAGAAAAAAGAAAAATCCCCAATATGCAAATGCTGATGTAACCAGCATCAAAATAAGAGCTACAGAAAGAAATGCAGTGGCTTACAAGATGAAGATTAAAATTCCTTTTGCTGTCCCTCTTTCAGACTGCTCTGCATTGCTGTTTGCCAAAACGCTTTCAAGGTCAGCCTGAGTCCAAAGCACGAGGCAAGATCCAGAAGCCAACAACAACCTTCAAGTACCAGCTATCAGAACCAGAGATGAAAATCCTGGACCAGATAGGTCTGCTTAAGTCTTAGAAAGAGGGAGAAGAGACACGCCTCATCTCTTCCCTGGGTGGTAAAAGAAGAAGAACTACAACCTTGTTGGCACTCCAAACTAGGTAACCTGTATGGTTCATATGGCATGTTCATGCACAGAGGAAAAAAAAAAAAGAAACATCACATATCCTTACAGTCATGAGGGTACGTGGGAAGACACCCACACTTAGAATACACAATGTAGATTATGATATTAGAATAAAGATGTCATGTTTTAATCGCACAGTAATGGTGGAACACTGCTGCGTAAGCACCAAGGCATTCATGACAGCAGAACTTCACTAGCAGACAAAGTTGTATCACTAGAACATAGAGTACATTTATTGTAAATGATTGTCTCCCAGGCTATGCAATGTTTAAATACAGATAGCAGGAATTAGTTCTATTACACCCACCCCCTTTTTTTTTTTTTGGTCTTAGTTAGGAACCAGAAAAATATTTAAAGCAAAATGTTTAGCTATTGTTAATTGCACTGCAGTTTATTCACATTATCCATGTGGATCCATTAGGAGACACTTGTAACCTCATCACTTAAGAGAGTAGACAGTGACTGGGTAATTTTTCAAATTTTTAAATTATTTCTAACTTCCCATGTAAACAGTAGCTTAACAGCATGTTTCCATAGTTTAAAAAAGTGAAAGAAAGCTCAATGTCACCAAGAGGAATCTGTAACATCCCATATTAACAGCTTCAAATTCTGTTAAGATACACCCTCTTGAAATGAAGATCCGAAGGAAAGTTCATATGAATACATTCAACACAGACAAACATTTTGATTTTCATCTTGCACTGTACCTTGTCATATTTGCTACTGGAACCAAAGCCAAAAATCAGAAGGTGACCGTGAGAATCGGTACATGCAAAATGCTGTCCATCAGGAGAGCACTTGCAGTCAAAAACTGCACCGTGTCCTTGTCCTTCAATCTGAAATACATCAACATACAAAATAATTAAGTTACCAGAAACACATAATTTTCAATTGAGTCTCAAAACTGTGGTGCTGATGTTGAAATTTATTATAAAATCTGTAAGACAGTATACTGCTAGATAGAAGTTACTTTAAAACATAGTTTACTTTTTAGCTATTCACTTTTCAGTGAATTTTGTAATTATGCTCATGAAAGATGCCAAATTGATAGTAGTAGAAACTGACAGACTTTATCCACAAAGCAGCCACAGTATAGGAAGTGAAAATAAAAGCTTCCCCTTGAACATCCTGCCAATGAGCCTAACCAGAGAGCTGGGTCCAGTTCAGGGCTTAGCCACTACACCCTTTCAATCCTCTGCCTTTTTGCTAAGCTAGCCCAGTAGCATTGGCTGCTGCGGTGTTTCAGAACACCTGCCTGCTAGAAAACGCACTGACAGACAACCCACGTTACACAACTTAGCAACGGCCTGTTTCTGTAATTCCTACTCCTAATTTATTGGAGTGGGGGAGGTGTAGATTTGTGTAAAAACTCCACTTTTTAAAGGAGAACTGCAAAGATTTTAAAAAAGGAATTTTTACCTGATACTCATTTTCTGTTTTCCAGTTCCATTAAGCCAGAACAAATGGGTTTTTGTTTTTCCCTGCAACCTGTCAATCAAGCAGAGGTGACCAATCACCACTCTGAATTTTCAAGTCTTCCGCACCTCTTCAGAAAGCCCCTTTCTATTCTCCCCAGCAAAGCACTTTTGCATT